CCCCTGACAGAAATTCAGTAAACTTTCCATTTCATCTGAGACTGGCAATGTGTGTCTAGCAATATTGCCAAATAAACGGTTCTTGAAGCTGAAATCAATCGATTTGTCAGGTGGATCAATAATACATATCTGCTACCAGTACGGTACATTTTCTTGACAGAGAGTCAGCCAGAACTAGATTTTATCAGACATTGTTGCTCTTTATCTGCACTTTTAGCGATATATTTGGCAAACAATGATGCCTCTATAAGGGGTCCAAAATAAATGCCACACAAACGTGTCCAAAACCAGATCGGAGGTTAAGGTGTTACTTTTTCTTACCGTCAACAAGTCAGTTTCTGACCAATACCTTTGATTTTTCTTGGTTGTTTATATATTCAAAGTCGTAAGCATAAGGAGCAAACGTATATCATTGTAAACTTTATATCACGTGGTTACTTTAATAGATGTAGGTAGTTGTTTGTCTTTGTCCCTGTAGTCCTATTAATTTTTTAGCCGGGATCCAAGTCTTGATTTGGCCCATAATCTGTTCAGAAGGAAACAACGCATTCAACCAACGTGTGTTTGTAGTGAGAACATAGATAGCTAAATATGTGTTTAGCATCCATCACGGTTATTGGTGTTTTCCATAAGTAAAAACCATTTTAGTGTAATGAAGTGGTACCAAAGGCTAAATCATATTTAGGCCGACTTATGTGAGATGACAGATTTATTTTTTACAATTTCTCTTCATTCTTTTTTATTTGTTATTTATTTATCCACATAATCTTGGCTAGCCATAACTTAGCCTATATGGTAAAAGTTGAAAAGTTTAACTTAGGGGTTTAACTAATAAATAAAGATTAAGTTACAATCTTATTTAGCGTATACACAGTAAATTGAACTAGGTTAGCTTACTGCTTAAAATTAAGTTTAGATGAGAAGAGTAGGTTATTTACCCGTTACAAACTAAAAATAAAATAAGCAAGTTAGGTAAGTTAACTCAACAAATTTTCAAGATTTCAGAAACATACTTTCTTAACAGCAACAAATCATAAACATTCAAAGAGGGCTTATAATTGATTTTAAAAAGTCTAGAGTTTGTTCAGTTGACCTTAAAAGTAAAGACCTGTTTTGACCAAGAACCTTCAATAGACTAGGCTTTAAAAAAATCACAGCCTTAAACTATTAGTTTGTCAAGTTAGTGAGCTTGTTCAGAGGACCTAATATACAATAGGTACCGGTAACCAATTATTCCCGGTGAGTTTGATCTGCCAGATAGGCCTGGTGTATAAGTTAATGTCCATTGCCCTACAACACTAACTGCATTTTTGGAATTGTTATTTAGGCCTATTGGGTTTCACCCACTACCGTATTTCAATTGTGCAAAAATAGTCTGGAGGTAACACAAATTAATAGGTCGGTTTTGTTATAACCTAAACTTTAAGTACCTTCTTAATCTAACCTAACTTCAAAAAACTTAAGTTACAGTCACAAAACCGCATTAACCCGACCTACTTTCCCCACATGCCTAAATAAGTTAACCTTTCCCGGACTATAGGCGGATCCGCTATCATTTTGTGCACAATCTATTGCGCATGCAATCTAGTATGACCAGCTCTTAACTAGCCACAGTCTACATACGGACCCGTCAGACAACCATATTACCATTCGTACCACTCAATGAACCTTAGATTTGTAATTTTTAACTTTGTTTTACAGCCACTCAAAGGAGTCTTTCCGACAAAAGCTGATTGCAGATTTAGTGTGTAAGACTTAATATAGATACCGTACAGAATAATTGTCTTTTAAAATAGGTAGCCTAGTATTTTTTTCCACTGTAATAATGCTAAGTTAATGTCCCTGAGTTAAAAAAAATTACTGTGTTCCCCCTGAAAAAACGAAAAACTAATGTAAATGTAGTTAACATAAGCAGCAAACGTTAAACTACATAAGTAGGCTACCGGTAACTTTAACACGTTGACAGCGCGTGCCGACTTTAGTCGGCGTCGCCAGCGCTCCCAGGTGGCGCGCGCCGACTAAAGTCGGCACCAGACCAACAGAAATATATTGAGTCAGTGTGAGCTTAGCCTCAGACGGACACGTTATAATCGTTGCCAGCCTGCCAGCTTAGAATGCGAGCTTTACTTTGGGGTGTAGGTTGGTACTAAAATTTCCCGTAAAATCCTGTCTGGCAATGCTTTTGTCCCGGTTTCGGGGATTTTTTCTCTTCAACCCACATTACAAAGACACTGGATACGGATCCATGCAGTGCTGCTACCTTTGGGTGTTTCAGTGAACTACATCCACTCTCGGGGTAACGCAGCACAGTCACCACTGCTCTTTTGTGATTCGTCAGACTGAAATATTTGAATGCCAATTGCGTTCGCTGATTCGGTTGCGCGCCGGGGCTTCGCCCGCCACTGGGGAGTGCCTGTAAAGTCGGCGCGCGCAGTCAACGTGTTAAGTTAAGTTAAACTGAAGATGGAAGTTGCCTTGGGAACCTTTATTAACTTAAGTTAAGATAGGGTCCTAGGTAAGTTAATTGAATATTAGAGCACCCAAGTTAAGGCAAATTAACTTAAGGTACTAAAATTCTAAAAAGGAATTTGTTCAAATTAGGTTACAATTATCAATTTTTAAGAAAGTGTCTGGGTGTAGACTTTCATAAATGGGGCCAAAACAACCGAATGAAAATATTGTATTTATTTTACGATAGGCCTACTAGGCTTTATCGATTATTTCATTCGGTTAGTTGGGTTAGGTTACCCTAACTACTTAACCAAACTTGATATAAGTACTTAGGCCTATATCGAATGAAATAATTGATAACTTAGATCGATATAGGCCTATTCATTCGGTTGTTTTGGCCTCACTTAAGAAAGTCTACCCAATCGTGTCTCTGAAGCCTAAGGGCCAGTGCGCACTATCCCGACCACGACTCCGACCGGTCGGATACGACCAGTTTTACAATAGGAATAAATGGAACAGCGCGCACTGGTCAACTGGTCAGACCCTGGTCGCACAACCAAAATTTTTCAGTTTGGTCGGGCCCGACCCGCTGGTCGTTGCAGCCAAAAATAGCACACAATGTAATGGGACGACGCGCACTACCCCCGACTTGCCTCCGACCCGACCAGTACACCACTCAACCCCCAGTACTCCTAGATCAATCAAACGTTGAGCACTTGCTTTTTGCGCCGGTCTGTGAAGTGAGTTATTTGGTAAAATGTCACAGGAGTTTGACACGGAAAGTTAAACTTCACCCCTGATTTCACCAGCAACTTTACTATAGCCTATAATTCATAAAAGCTGTTAACAGACATTCTTGTGTAATTAAAAAACCCGTCTTCATATTGACGTAGCTCTTCATAAAACATAGCAAACTGCCATTATGTAGACCTGACAGTTAACATTGGATGTACCCAGTATCGTTTCTTCTTCCGCTTAACGTACCTACGTTAAAATTCACCACAGCAGCTACTTCTTCAACATCCATCTTGGCACTGAAGTTTGTAAAACATTCGTTGCCTTGGTCGTGTCGTGGTCGGGTCGTGCTCTGGTCGCATGGTGAACGACACCGACTGGTCGGGCGTTTGGTCGTGGCCGGGATAAGTTAGTGCGCGCCTGGCCTAAGTCAGGACTTTCTTCAGTGAATTTGGGATAAGTAAATAGGCCTAGCCTAAAATATTTGGAAAGATGAAGGATAGCCCTAGCCTAATTCTTGGCTGACACAGGCTCAGAGCCTATCAAGTTAAGTTTATCTTAAGGTCCCGATTGGCCAAGGAAATGGAGTAAGCCTATTTGGATAACAATTGGAATTGTTAAAGCCTGTGGGTACAGTTTCTTAACTGAGCTAAGTTACCCTAAGATTGAATGAAACTATCGATTCAATTAAGTTAGTTTAAACCTTCATTCAATTTTTCATCATCAGCAAGTTTGGTTAGGCCTAGTTAGGTAAGGTTGGCTGCACTTTACTTTACGTCCTACACTCATTCAAATGTAAATAGGCTATCAATCGATATATTGATTATTCGATTTATCGTTTGGTTAGTTAAACCTAACCAAACGATATATCGAATGAAACAATTGAATAGGCCTAATCAATATTTTCTTTCGAATGAGTGTAGGACGTAAAGTAAAGTGCAGCCGTAAGGTTATAAAGTAGGCCTAACAGTTGTATTTTAGGTTATAACTAGGCTAAGTTAATATCAGTTAGCCTAGGCCTAGTTAAAAATATCAATTAGGTCTATAAGTAAATCAATAGCCTATTCTCAATCGATATGTAGTTGCAATTGATATTAGGGTAGCCCAGTTAATTAACTGTACCCAAGCCTACAACCGGGTACAGTTTCTTACTGGGCTATGCTAATATCGATTGAAACTAGGCTATCATTTTGATTAATAATCAATATTTTTAAATATATCTATTATAAAATGAAACTGTCATAACCTAACCTAACTAACCAAACTTGCTGATAATGAAAAAATTGCATGAAGGTTTACTAATTGAATCGATAGTTTTAATCAATAATAGCATAGCCCAGTTAAGAAACTGTACAACCTACTTAAGTAAAAATAATGGGCTTTGTATTACATGTTTACTCAAACTGAGAGAATTGTAATCTTTAGGTAGGCTACCTAAGGTAAGCATACGGCCTTGGTTTTATCAGAGTTGATTAAACCGAGAGCTAGGTTTATAGCGATTTATACATTGCAGCACGAATACTAGCATTGCAGGTACAATTTAGTGAATGAGATGGAGTTCATAGAGAGTACATAAAAAAATACAGTTCTTGAACGTACTAAAAGTAACAAATTATTCATTATACGTATAAATTGTCTTCCCGTTTTATTAGGTCTGAGGTAGCGAAGCACTTATAGGTACAGATAACTTAGTAAGGAACCTAATCAAATTTCTCATTGATTAAAGGAAGGAAGGAAGATTAGCAACTAATTCACAACATATCTAGAGATAGTCAGGTAATTATGGCTCTATAAATTGGAAAAGAAAGACTTACCAAAATAAATCAGAAGATTTAATTAACACTCGAAGATCTCAGAAATTTCCCAGTCCACCATTTTCGAAATCACACCATCAGATTTTTTTCTCGAAATCGACGTAATTTCACTAACTCGTCGTAATTCTGATTCTAAACATGTGGTGGTATGGTATTTTCCAGTGTATTTTCCTTGCTATAATGCTATGCTATTAAATTGTCTTGTCACCGCCATTTTGTTTACTAACTAAATATTGTGTTTAGTTTGATATTACCATTGATTATACAGATGTATATTATATAGGTACCCTCAGAATGTGAAAAACTAACAAAAACGAACATCTTCAATGGTTTTGTTGTCTGTTCGATACACATAAACATTACAGACAATTTATTTATATTTGACCTCAAAAATTGACCAGTTTCAAAATTGATCACAAGGTAACTGTGTTGCACCATTGACTTTATATCTACACAGACAGTGTAGATATAAAGTCAATGGTTGCACGATCAGACAGATCACACAACTAACAGGCAAAGAAGTTCATTGTCAACGATAGTCCATCCTTCTGTATAATACCATAGATAAAACATACTCCTCAACCCAATCTCAACTCTTCTAGTAAAAACCCAACCACACAGCTTTGCTTTTTTGCCTGCACTGCTGCACATTACTTAAATTGAAGTGATCCCTTTGTTAGTGTCTTCACCAGTGCCATTTTGTGTGGAAGAGGAAGATTGCAAAATATATTTAAAGCAAAATTGTTCAAATCCCTGTTGTAATTTAATATGTGTTTTCCTAGGCGCGGAAGCGGAGCGCAGATAGAGGAACGTGGAGAGCGGAACGCGGAGAGCGGACTCCTCTTGTCTTAAGCACGGGTCACACTAGGCTGGCATCATCAGCGGCGAATTGAAAGAAGCCGCGACTGTCAGCTTAGGCTCGTCACACACTGCGTCCGGTCCGGTAAAATCGGATCCGGCATGCCGGATCAGGTGAATTCGAAAACCATTAATTCAAATGGAAGTCCCCACACTGCATCCGGTCCGGTGCTTCAGGTCCGGTCCGGTAAAATTATTTCGGTCGAGAAGCGATAGGCTTCCGGCAAGCTTCCGACGCCGGAGAGCTCGCGCATGTGCAGACGACTTCTACTCACCTCGTGACAGTGACAGTGGGCACTGACAGTAGCAGCAGACGTGGTTTTGTGGTTATTGTTTACGCTGTATGACTTTTTACAAAATGTCATTGGAAGAGAAACTGATTGTGCTAGTACAGGCGTACCCTGAGCTATACGACCTAGGCCACGAGGACGTTTAAGCAAGAGCTGCTGCAACTACGAAGATCTCTTCACTGTCACTAGTCACTCATTGCTTTAGGGAAATTTTGTTAACACAAACTACTGTATGTTGTTGGTTAAACACTTCTTCAACTCACAATACCGCTGTCCTCGCATAGACTCAGACTGGTCGCCGGAACTGGAACGCCTGATGCAGTGTGTGGATCGATTTTACCGGACCGGACGCAGTGTGTGACGAGCCTTAATGTGACTACAAAATTCGCAGCTGACACTGAGCTGACTCAGGCTGGTGAACCGGTGATGCTGGTGCCAGCAGCTGATCACCAGCGGCTTGCGTACAGCCTAGTGTGACCCGTGCTTTGTAATTTAATGTTACTGTTTTCCTAGAAGCGGATCATGTTAATCAGTTTCCACTCTCCGCTCTCCGCTCTCCGCGCTCCTCTTCTGCGTCACTGCGTCTAAGAAAACCCGGCTTAAGTCGAGGACTCGAACTCATACTCTTATTGTACTTAAGGGTGCCACCCTGAGGTACCACGGTACCATCCCAATAACCCACCACCAAAAGTTGAGGTGGACAGGTTGATGGAAGCGTAATGAAGCATACAAGACAACCCGGTACCTACTGCTTCTAGTAGTGCCCCACTGGAGTCTAAACCTTCGCTAAATCATCACGATGTTGTCCCCTGGCGCTGCGGAGTGGGGGAAATGATTCTCCCTCCACCTCCCCTCTAGACGGCGTCCAAACAAGCCCGCGTTGTTTTACATGCATATACCTATGCTGCAGTTTTTCAATAAGTTAAAAAATGAATATTTATAAAATTAAACTGTCATAAACTAACCTAACCAACCAAACATGCTGATTATATAAAATAATAATCGAATGAAGGTTTACTAATCGAAAAAATAGTTCTGTTTATAAAATAAAATTATAAATGCCTTGAATTCAATTTTTAGAATTTATTAATTATAAAATTAAACTGTCATAACCTAACCAAACCAACCAAACTTGCTGATAATGAAAAATCGAACAAGGTTTACTTATAGAAAAAAAATAGTTCTAAAATTATAATAGCTCAAATTGAATTTTATAATGTTTTAATTAACAAATTAAACTGTCATAACCTAACCAAACTAACCAAACTTGCTGATGATGCAAAAATCTTAAACAAAAAGTTAGTGCTACCGAGAGGATTCGAACCTGGTACCTTCAGATCCTCAGCCCGGCGCGTTATCCATTAGACCACCGAGGCCGATGGTTCCAAACCGTATCGTTGCGGTAATGGTGTTCCCTCAGCCAATAGAATGCTTTGCTTCCCCCACTCCGCAGTGCCAGGGGACAACATCGTGATGATTTAGCGAAGGTTTAGACTCTAGTGTATTGCCCCTAGTAAAAAAAATGGTGGCGGATTGTTGGTGGTGTCACGTTGTCACAGACGTTCATGATGGTGACGGGTTGACAGGGCGTACTCTTTAATCCGCTTTGTCGTCCCCGCACACTTGGCTCTCATCGTCCCTCTTAATGGGGTGTATATTTCTGGTCTTACCTGTCTTACAAACTGATAGTTCTATTATTCTATACAGGATTTTAACATTTGCTTCTAGCTTCTTGTGTCCTAGTATCGGAAAAATGTCCCATATTGACTATCAGAATGTAACTCTTTCAGAATTTTTTACGTAAAGATGATAAAAGAACACAGATCCATTACCATATAAATATACAGCCGTCTAGTAAGCAAAATTAATTTGCATTTAACCAAGTTTTTAAAGCTTTTTCCTGTAATTCAATATTTAATAATATTGTAAAAAAATCAAATAGGTAGTATATAAAAAAACCAATATTTGTCAACAATACTCCACCGAAATACTTTTTGCAGATTTTATGAAATAACATAGCCTAAAGAACAAATATATTCATAATACTTTTGTCAGTCAATAGAATAATTAAATACCCCCACCACAGCAAACCTGCAGACTAAGCGAATTTCCATTTACCTGGCTGGAATTCTACTAAAATATTCCCTTAAAATTGTCAGATTTATTTTCTATTTAAATAACATTAATTTTAATGAGTACTGTACTTAGGTTTGCTGCTAGGGAATGTTTAGAGGTGAGTTTTTTTTTTATTTTATATTAATAGCTTAGTATAAAATAAATATACCCCCGCCGTAGCAAACCTGCAGACTAAGCGAATTTCCACTAACCTGATTCGATTTAGACTAAAATGCCTCAATAAAAATATCACATTTATTTCCTATTTAAATAGAATTAGTTTAACGAGTACTTAGGTTTGCTGCAACAGGAAGGGTAAAGTGGTTTTTTTTTTATGTTAATAGTTTAGTAAGAAATGAAAGTATTTTCCAAACTCAATCAAAATATGTTCATAAACAAAGCAAACTACAACAGTTGACTTATTCTCCATTATAATAACATGGGAATTTTAAATTTACAATTTTTACTTTCTCCCCCTATACCATATAGTATATGGAGAAAGTATTGTTTTTGTCAAGATTTTCGAGTTTGAGTTTTGAGTGGATTCGTTTTGGGCCCTCCTGGTCCCAAAAAAGTGGTTTTCGAAGTGATGTCTGTGTGTGTGTGTCGTGTGTCTGGATGTGTACAGAGCTAGGGACTACACCTGTGGTCTGATTTCGATGAAATTTGGTATGTTAGGTTCCAATCCATGGAAAAATCGGATTTTCCAAAAAATGGCCCGAACGATTTTGATAAAAATTTAGTATGTTATAGTCCTTTATATTCTGAACAAAATGGTACAAATCCCATTTCTGCAAAAATTACGGTTCAAAAGTTATTGTAAATTATGTTATTTTCCCACAAAAACCCCATAAAATAACGGAAAAATCGGATTTTTCCAAAAATAGCTCGAACGATTTTGATAAAAATTTAGTATGTTATAGTCCTTTAAATCTGAACAAAATTGTACAAATCTCATTTCCGTATATTTATACTCTCACCGCTTACACATAATAAAGGTTGTTGACAAACTTATGGGAGAAAGTATGTGTCAGAATGCTGATACCGTTTATTTTGAATTTTCTCCGTAACCATTAGGCGCACAAAAACGCTTCAATATACTAAATTATTTGTTTTTTAAGCTCTACAAAATGGTTTGGAAATAAATTGTAAAATTTTGTGTTTTTAGGGTCAAAAATGGGAAAAACCTATTTTTACCCCATAAAAGCCTATATAAAACCCCGTTCCCATAGTCCGATCATGCTGGTTTGCTAACTCGTTCGAATAAATGTAGGTTTACCGTACACGTTTATACCAAATTTCATCAAAACAGATCATTTTTGCTCCAGTTATCGCGCTAACGGACACACATATATGTATATACATATGAATTTGAATGGATGGTGTTTTTGGCCTCTAGGGACCTCAAAACGAAAAAGTAAATCGGTCCCGGGTCCAGGTCTTACCATGAGTACTACGGTAATAGCTTATTCCCTATATGGGAAATTCGCTAAAAAAGGCAAAATTTTATAAAAATATATCCATAAGCAAGCAAACTACAACAGTTTATCTATTCTCCAAGAATAACATGGGAATTTTAAATTACATTTTTTTTTTATTATCTCCGTAACCGTTAGGCATAAAACAACACTCCAATATACAAAATTATTTCTTTTTTTAAACTCTACAAAATAGTTTAAAAGAAAATTGTGAAACTTTTGTGTTTTTAGGGTAAAAAATGGGAAAAACCAATTTTTACCCCATAAACCCCTGTTTCCCATAGCCCGATCATGCTCATTCGCGAACTCGTTTGAATAAACGTAGGTTTACACGTTTGTACCAAATTTCATCAAAATCGGATCACTTTTGCTTGAGTTACCGCGCTAACAGACACATATGTCAAGCTGTTTGACCTTACGTCGTCAATCTACTAATTTTACAGACTAAATACAAATACAACAGACTAATTTTAGGATTGACGACGTAAGGTACCTATGTTACCTATTTATACTATTTTAATAGTTTTAAATATTCGATTGATATTTTCAGCAACTAAAGACAAATACTATACAATGTCATTATTGTAAGAAACATTCCATGAACAAACTTACACAACCCCCCCCCCCCAGGTTGAAATTTCAATCATAATAAATTGAAATTCCACTGAACTTAAATAATAAAAGCCAAAATTATAGTTGTAAAGTATACCTATTTTTTATATATACCGTTTATGTATAAATAAACTATACCTATAATCACTAAAAAAAAAATAGGTTCCCAGGTACTAATAATTAATTATCTCAGCTTTCAGCCAAAAATCTTTTTAAAAATCAGCTGATATGATTAAGATCAATTCCACTTCAGTAGTAAACAAGAAATCTGTGGTTTTATTATTATTGATTAAATGTAATCAATTAAATGAATTTTTCCAATTTGAAACTGTGTTGTACAGTAATCTAAAAGAACCCTGTCGCGTTAGTATTACCATTTCATTTTTTAGAGTAGCTGACTGTAATAAAGACAGGAGTTAAAATGGATCTGGAGTTTGGTCAACATCAATTTTTGAAGAAAGACACTTCCTGTCCCCTCAATTCAACCGCTATAGAAAGAATAATAGCAAGAGGTAAGTACACAGGACCAATGCAAAAAACACCATTGTACTACAAACTATCATTACATAAGATGAAGACACTACTAGTAAAGAAGGTACTACAGCTTCTTCTTGTGTTTTTGCTTGTAATTATAGGTACATGGTAATAACCAGGTAATACATCATTAACAATATTGATTAATGATTAGAGGGATCTAGGTTAATTATTTTAAAGTGAATGGTAGCGGTACCTACATTATAAAGACTTAATAGCATTTTTTAACCAATGAAAACATTTACTCTCTTGCAAAGAAATATTTACATCCAAGCAGTGGTGTAAGCAGTATGTGTGGGAACTGGGAAAGCTCGCCATTGTCTAAGAACTGACTAACTAAGATAATAAGGTTTATATAGGAATATTGAAAAAATCAGAGCTGGGAAAGCCGTACCTATTGTGTGATGTTCTTGTTATTAACATTGAAGCAAGTGGGAAGCAACTCACAACAGTACCTCGGGTTTCCGCTCCATTACACCATTGCTCCAAAGAAAAGTTAGATAACTTCTTTGTGTATGCGGAACTAAACTACAAATTTACAAATGATTTCCTCCCTGATTATTAAAAAGAAAGCAGAAAGCAACTCATATGAAAGACTGCCTGCCGTAATTGCACTAACTTCATTCAATAATTTGCGTGCCCATAAGATAGAAAAGGCTCAATTTCCCTTTTCATTATGGTACAGTAACTTACATTTTGTTTATTTCATCTCATTTTTATTCTTCCAGGGTTAAAACAGAATATCCGTAATGAAATTGCAATCGAGCCATTTTTGTCCATGGTCAACTTTGAATCTGAAAACTTCAGTCCGGATGTGGATCCCACTAGAGCCTGCCTGGCTTTTGGAGATCGGGCTATTCCTAAAATAGTAAGTGTGCTCTTTGATGTGAAAAGTATTGTTAATCAATAAAAGACTTCAGATTCTGAAAGTGGAGAAGTTAACTTATCGTTAATATCCCAATTCTTTTGTAATCAAAAGTAAAATTGTATTTTGGTTCAATATGTGACTTCAGATTCTGAAAGTGGAGAAGTTAACTTATCGTTAATATCCCAATTCTTTTGTAATCAAAAGTAAAATTGTATTTTGGTTCAATATGTGTTTAAAAAAATCATTCATGATAGTGCTACAACAGAAAGAGCACTGTTGAACAAAAAACAGTGGGAAATCGGGCAACACTAAAACGATTTCTAGAGGATAAAAAACAGAAAATGTGTCTGATATTTGCTAATTTGCTTCAATTTATTTACTGATTTGAACATTTTTTCAGTTAAGAAGTTTGACAAAGTCACATAGCCTGTTGGTGTTGACAAAAAATCTTTAAGCTTTATAATCTCAACTACCTACTAAAAATTGTTGTGATACTGTAATGCAACTTAAAGTGAGGTCAAGAGTTACCTACACTTGAAGGCCATGTTTGGTGTATTTATTCACGTAAGTGTATTTACTGCCCGGGCGTTCCCGACGATGCAGTATACATACATTCTTCTGCTGTCCATGTTAGGATCCACCTGGAACTGGAAGCCACTCAACTTGAGGTGCTGTCAGATGAATCGGTTTGCTAAAGCATGGAGGGTGAGGAAAACTGGCACTGCTGGCAACACATCTTTTGGAACATTTTGTAAGAAAGAAAAAAAAATAAAATAATAGCCTAATAAACAACCTAGATCGGATAGCAGGCTGGCTACTTGTGTGCGTAAAAAAAACAAAAACCTTAAGTTCAAATAAACTAAATGATTTTTGTCTTCTTAAAATACTTGAACTATTTTACCGCACCTTCATAAAATAATTGCCCCTTCCTAAACTGGTAGATATGGATGTTTTGGTATATAGGTAGTTCAACAAAACTCAGCATCGATGTTGAGTTATGATAGATCTTGATTTTATATTAACGCAATTTGTTTTTAATGATTTTTAGAAAAGAGAGTTGCTGAGCAAAGATAAGACGATAGCTAAGAGAGCCCTCAGTTCACTACTGGATGTTGTCCATGATCCTGAACAGGCTGTAGAGGCGTTAAGGTTGCAAATCATACCACGGTGAGACAACCAGCTCATTAAGGCATTGATTAACAATTGTCTGTGACAATGTTACCTGCTGTAACCCATGTAATGTTATGTGCAAATAAATACTTTGACTTTGACTTTACAGTTCGGCCATAACTTCTGTGCGTGGACGCTGGTTGCTACTAGCCAAAATAAAACATACGGGTACCAGTTATTGGTAGTGCTGGGGGTAGGAGTGAGTGAGTAGTAAGACACAAATGTTTTCACAAAAGTACCCCCGCCAACCCCCTCGCCAAGACGTGTCCAGATCTGGTCGCGTCTTTGCTGTGCAAAACACTGAATTAACAAAGATAATTTAATTAGATGTCATGTCAAAATGTCCTTGATTCTAGGGATAGCCCTGGCTAACGAAACAGCTGATCTAAGTCAGTAACAAATAAGCTACAAAACTAGCTTCATTCAGTTCATTCTACAGTCATTTTCACTTTAATAACATACACACCTTAGTGGCGTCTCAATTGTTAATTGGCGAAAGTGTAGGTGTGTCAAAAGCACATAGTCAATGGAAGCGCCCCTAAGAGAAAGGTTTATTTAGAGAGCTAAGGAGCGAGCTGGTCTAGTGGTTAGAGCGCAGGTCTTCGGTCCCTGAGGTCCCGGGTTCGAATCCTGCCAAATCACCAATGGATTTTATTTAAGTGATAATGCCGCAACCCCTAGGTCTTGCTTGAAGTAATGTGAAAACAATCCCGGGCTCGTACCTAGCGTCCTAGGACAAAAAAGAAAAAGAAAAAGAGGTCTAGTTTTAATGTACGACAAAGAATCAACATACAGACAATAATACAACGTAGTGACATTTAATAATCTACAACAATTTTGCTAGAGGCAAAAAGACAAGTCAAGCCTCTTTTTCTCAATGCATTGTGCTCCATTTCAATCAATGCTGTTATGACACATTCACCACGGAAGTTTAACTGTGGCAGAACTTATTTTTAACGAGTAACAATGTGATAAATCATAATCGATTTATGTTCTATGAATCGCACAGACTCGTCAGACTACTGTCGTCGGACGACGTGTTTGTCCGCCAACATGTTCTTATGGTGCTGCAAGTGCTGTCAATGCAGCCAGGCGCGAAACTGACGATCGTCAAGAATCAGCCAATCATGTCAAGCCTCTCCGTTCTCATGATGGACTCTGATCGTAATGTTAGACTGAATGCAGCAAAAACGTTGCTAGCTCTTGCAGCATGGTACTTTGGTGAGTATTGACCATTTAAGCCCCAATGTATATTGAAGCGGGTGAGCAAGCTGGTTTAGTGGTTAGAGCGCGGGACTTAGGTCCCAGGTTCAAATCCCGCCAAATCACCAATGGATTTTATCTAAGTGATAATGCCGCAACCACGTCTAGCCTGAAGTAATTTGAAAAACAATCCCGGGCTCGTGTCTAGCGTCCTAGGACAAAAAATGTATATTTGAAGCGTTTTGTTATACAATAAAAGGGTTGTGGAGAAAATTATTTAAAAACTGTGCATTCAAAACTTTGGTGATATTCTTAATGGAAAAGGAGATATTCTTAATGTGTTGTAGAGTCAATAGTTATAGCTGCAACAAGTGTAATATTTATGACTATAAGATTAATCACTGTGTAATGGACATTCCATTTCCTCGTTAAGTAGCCGGCAGTTTTAGAATAAAAATTAATGACACTAATACTGTGAAAATACACTTTCTTTCTCGTTCATAGACTTTTCTATCATGCCACATTTAATGAATTGTAGCATAATATGCTATATTATAGTATAATATGGCTATATTATTTATGTCATCAACTAATACACTGTATGAAAATCTGAAGAGAAAATGAAACTATAATTGTAAGATTAGGAAGGGTTGTATAATAGTCAGCTGTGGGGCAGAGTATGCCCCTTGTAAGTAGGACCCTCACTCAGAGAATACCGGTACCCCTATGTTAACCACTTTGTTGACATTGCCTATTTCTTGTTGTTATTCTAATGGCTTGATAAATGATACATTTTGATGGTTTTACTATATTTTTTTGGGAAACTTTAACTGGTATCTGCAGTAGTGTGCTAGGGTTATGAACTTCAGTGTGTATATTTTGTATAGTCTTATGTTTTGTACATCTAATTTCTTTATTTAAGTCTCCTTGCTATTTTTAATGCACATTTTATGATTTTCAGGAGTTGAAGAACTGATTAAAGATTACTATGTGTACTTAGTCATCAATCAACTTGAAACTGAGCTAGACAATGAGATTGCAGTGAGTAATTAATGATCATACATGAAATTTTGACTATTCTGGAATAATTACGGAATAGTGGCTGGCAACAACAAATTTAATTACATGCCGAAGTTACTTCTTTCAGTAGGTCAGTGCTAACATGACTTAATTACAAAAATTAATTTTCGTGCCTGATGTGAAAATCATTTTTACTTTTTCATTCACATTTTGAAATTTTAACGTGTTTTGCAAACGTAGAGAACAGTTTGGAGCATTTTTAGGGCTATGAGCAGCTTTTTTGATAATTGACTGTGTGGCTTTTTTTTATAATGAGAAATACAAGGGTGGTTTTCTGGTTTTATAAATTGTATTCAAAGGGCAACCTCTCAAGAGAATGACTATTGGTTGCTAAATAAGATGAATGATTGAGGAAACATTGATACACAAGATTTCATCTATCAAAGTCTCAATTGATTTTCACAAATACTGGGTGATAAATTTACAGTAGTTAAGTTTAATTTTGAATTGAAATTACTCATATAACAATCAAGACCTAGCTATGGGGGCTAGAATGAAAAATATTTCAAGTAAGGTAAACTCTTAAAGGTCCAAATTGGCAAAAAGTAAAAAATAAAATGTTTAATCCAAAAAAGTTAAAAGAAACACCTGATAAAATTAGAGTTAAATACCTGTATCGGATAACTTATTTTTTATTTTCCAGGTGGCACTGATGCAAACACTGATTTTACTACTTGATCACAGCAATGAAGCAAAGTACCAAGCAATGACACACAGAGCTGTCGAGCTCTCAGTTTATCTTGATCATACAGAAGCTCAGCTGAGAGCTTTGGGGTGTGAGCTCGTAGCTCAACTTGCCAGACTGCCAGAAGGAAAAGAGGAGATAGTCTTGCACAGATGCGACATTCTCGCCAAGTTGACTTGCCTGCTTGACGATGAGGTATTTATTGTTTTCATTTTTCATTTAGGTAACACTAGTTTCTTTATCCCTGCTTGGCAATTCTGTGAGGGCTGAGGACCCAAAAGAGAATGTAGTTTATAATATACTTTTGATAAAAGTTATACACCCGCCTTGCTAATAGAAATGAATCTCACCTTCACCATTTATATTCTTCAAACTCTCTTTTTTGGTTGGTATATATCATCTTGGTTGAATGATAAAATTAATAACTTTGTCAAAATGCAAATATTGTGGTTTTTCTATTTGATACCGAGGAGACAAATCAAAATTTTCTTCTGAAACTTCCATCTGAAAAAACCCTTTAGACAACAATGGGGTGTGGCCAAAAGATTTAAGGTAACATGTATCTATTGTGTTGGCTAGTTTCATCTAACCATTGTGAAAATTTCAATCCAGTTTGTTCAGTAGTTTTTGTGTTCACTCATACATACTAGTAGAAACACAGACCAAGTTCAAGTTTGAGAGGGCTCTGTTCAGGGTTATAACTTAGGACTTTACTGTCTATCTAAGATTGAATCCCGTCAGGTATGAGCTACGCATAAGAACATTTATTTTTACTCTATTGTTATCTTGAAGATTATACAATAAATATTATCTCTCTCTTTTCAACTGAAGGGTGGGACAACAAATGGTAGACAGCTCAGGGCAAGTTGATGGGATTGGTAGTAGTATAGTATCAGATCTGGTACTTCACAATTTTTTCTCATGCGCATCTGTGCACTTAAAATTTGGTTAGTATAAATAGGTAGCAAACTTTTTCCTCTGAAAGATGAAAAACTTAGTAAAGTATACATTATTTACATAAACAATTTCTGAGGCTCTAAATATTTCAACAATGATTTTTTCAGATAATTAGTTCAGATAAACTCCAGTATCTTCACTCTAATATCTACTTACAAAATTTTGTCTGACCAAAGAACAATTTGGGTAATATTTTTACCTATAACCGTTATTAAAGTAGCTGTTTCAGTTCCGTTGTTCTAAGAATTGAAAAGTTTCACATAGGCTAACACCATTGTTTACTTTCATAACAGCATAGTTTAACTCATAACAACACGGGTAACGGACCAATGAGGTTCAAAGTTTAAGAGAGAAGAAGTAAAATTGTAATGATTCGAACTTCACCTAATCAGCGGTTCAGGCCAATTTAATTGGTGAGTGGTGCAATTAGTGTTTGGTACAATGTTTCGTTCCATCACTGTCAGTGGCAATGAGAGGTTACAAACGAAAAATAATCTATTTTAGAAGTTGAGTACCGTAGTGATTTTTAGTAATTAAAGCACTGTCGTAGTAAAAGTAGTGTACGCAACTCGCGTAATTAGTGTCAACGACACTCGTAGAAGTTTTTAAGGCACTCGCCAAGGCTCGTACATTAAACTTTCTACTCGTGTCGTTAACACTATTATGCAATCGTTTCTTAAACTACTATAACATTACATTTTTTTGTCAGATTACATAAACATTTTGTTTCGGTGGTTAAAAATACTCAACGTTAAAAACGAACATATTTACAGATTGAAGAGGTGCAAAATCACTCTGCTGAAGCCCTCATGTTTGTGCTTGTATCAAAATCAATTAAGAACCACTGTTTGAAAAATCTCCCGATAATGTGCAAACTCCTTCGATGTGCTCAGGTAGGTATACCTTAACGTCTCAAATTATTCAACTCAGTATAGTCAATTAATTCAAGGTTGTAAGAAACAAGTATTTAGTATATTCTCCAAAGTTTCTGTGGACAGGCAGTTTCAATAATCCTGAAATACTTTTAGTGCAAGTTTGTAGATCTCTCTTGTGCACCTTTTATTCAGAATGTTACCGGTTCGATCCTGAAAATCTCAGGATTCAAACCTGGACCCAGCTGTCCTCGATCATTGCACTTTTAATAAACAGTCCTGGCTAAAGAAACCCCTGATCTTAGTCAGTAATCACAGTTTGTAATCATATCTATCAGACATCTTCACCATAAAATACACCATGGTGGTGTATTTTTTGTGAAACGAAATCTACGCTTAATCTTGTAGGTTCTGAAAACTTCAAAGCAATAGAAGTCGGCAAGATGAACAGTATGGCATTCTTAATTCTGGATTTTATTGTTATTATTTTGTAATAAGATAAGGACGCAACTGGCCGTATTCACAAATATGAATTGAGAGTGGAATGAAATGCCTTGTGCAGCTTTGTTACTGATTAAGACCAGCTGTTTCTTAAGCAAGGAGGAAGGACCATTATTAAAAACCTCATAAATCTACTCCTATCCTTTCTCTCCCATATTCTCAGGCAATAAGCCCTTTCTCTTCAAACCTAAAAGCCTCATAAAGGTAGACTGCTGAGTGCTGTGTAAAGTTTTAAACTATCAAAAAGCTACTGACCTTTCCTCTAGACAGAACCGTCAACCTTTTGTATACCAGGCAAGCACTATAACCACTCAGCTGGTATCTGATTTATTACTGAATTACTATTACTGATGTTAACCAGCAAATTATCAGTATTTCAGAGCACCAGGCTTGCAGATGAATGCACTCAAAGGACTGACCTGTTTGGCTGAACATCCTCAGGCCAGAGAGTTTCTAGTTCACAAAATAAACGAAATTGAAGCCATCAGAGTCGCCAACCAACTGGTGGACAGCCATAAAAAGATCCTTCTAACGACCATAAGAACAGTAATATAGATTGGTGGGAGAAAACGTCAAAATTAACAATAAAATTGCTAGAAGCGATATTTACATAATTGAAAATTGAATTATCCTAATGATTATAGGGTGGGAGCTTTAAAGTTTTAACTCACTAAATCTTAATTATATTTTAGTCTCTTCAAAAATTTGTTGTTGCTAGTAAATTAGCGTTATTTAATTTTTTGTACAAACAATAATAAATTTTTGTATAAAAAAACGTTTTAGTAAAATAATAAAAATATATAATAATGTATAAAAAGTTTTGTTTTTTAATAATTTATTAACAAATTTTTTTTAACAAAACGTTTTTTAACGCACTAAAAAGTAGAAAATAATTTATAAATATGTGGAGAGAATAAATACTTGTAAGATTTATAACGAAAAACATGGGGTGCATGTAATAGATAATTTACAATTACCTTCACCTATTGAACTAATGTATTATCATCTATTGCATGCACCCCACGTTTTTTGTTTTAAATATTACAAGTATTTATTCTCTCCACATATTTATAAACTATTTTCTACTTTTTAGTGCGTTTAAAAACGTTGTTTAAAAAAAAATTATTTATAAATTATTTTATACTTTTTAGTTTTAAATGTGTGTGGATGTTAAATCTATTTCAAGCGTCTATATCAGATTAAGACAGAAGCATGTGGGAAATCTAAGGTTTATTTTGAGTTTTTTTTCAGATAATTATGTATTAGATTGAATGTATGGCCAACCTACTAACTATAAATATATCAATATATTTAATTTATTGTTTACTTTTACTTTATAGAATTCTAAATAAATTACATTATTAACAAACACCTTTATATCTGCAATCAGATTGTATATTTTTATTTTGAAATGTTTGTTTGTATAAAGAATCTCTTGGGAGCATAACCTGTACTTCTTAATCTCTGCTCTTCGAACTGTCAAATTTAAGTATTTACAGCTGACTTAAATTGATTGATATATTTACATTCTTTTAAAATATAAACATGGAAAATTTGGAAAGCCCATGGGGCGTAGCCAAGGCCACACTAAAAAAACAGGCCGTAATGCTCGTCAAGCATGACGTCACGATAGAAATCGGCAATGACGTAATTAAGGTTATATTTTTGTTTTCGATGAAAATATTAAAACAAGCAGCTGATCACAAACGGCAAACATTACGTCATTGACGTCTTCTATCGTGACGTCATGCTTATGACGAGCATTATGGCCTGTTTTTTTAGTGTGGCCTTGGCGTAGCCCAAGGGAAATATGAAAATTAAATGATATAATATAGCATTGTCATCCATTTGTGAGCTATGTTTCAAGTTTCAAGTCTCTAGCTCATCGGAAACTTCGTTTAAAATTGATAACAAAATTTGTAGGAAAGCGAGCTAATAAAAACAAGCCCATGGGGCGTAGCCCAAGGGAAATATGAAAAATAAATTATATAATATTGCATAGTCATCCATTTGTGAGCTATGTTTCAAGTCTCTAGCTCATCGGGAAGTATCAAAATTTGCAAGAAAGCGAGTTCATAAAAACAAGCCCATGGGGCGTAGCCCAAGGGAAATATGAAAATTAAGCTATATAATATTGCATTGTCATCCATTTGTGAGCTATGTTTCAAGTTTCAAGTCTCTAGCTCATCGGGAAGTTAGTATAAAATTGATTGCAAAATTTGTACCGGACAAGAAAGCGAGCTAATAAAAACGTTTTAAAATACGGCTTTTTAAGAACCCAAACTTTGTTATTTGAGATAGGAATGCAAACTTGTTTGATTGATTTCACGCCATAAAACTATTTAGATTACTTTTCTCATTTTAGCGAATTTCCCTATAGGGAAGTAGCTATTACCGTAGGTGGCACGGTAAGACCTAGACCCGGGACCGATTTACTTTTTCATTTTGATGTCCCCAGAGGCCAAAAACACCATTCGTTCAAATTTTTATATATGTATATATATATATAGACTTATATATATATAGATATACGTCCGTGAACGCGATAACTTGAGTAATTTTTGTCCGATTTTGATGAAATTTGGTTTAAAGGTGTAAAGCGGGATAAACTTGAATGAGTTCGCGAACCAGCACGATCGGACCATGGGAACGGGGCTTTAAGAGGGGTTTTATGGGGTCAAAATTGGTTTTTCTCACTTTTGCCCCTTAAAACGCAAAATTTCCCGATTTCTCTTTAGACCTTTTTAAAGAGCTTAAAAAAACAAATAATTTAGTATATTAAAGTATTTTTGTTCGATTATTAGTAGCGGAGAAAATTTAAAAAATTGTAAATTTAAAATTCCCATGTTATTCTTTGTAGTTTGCTTGTTTATGGATATATTTTGATCAAACTTGGCAAATTTATTTATTTTGTACTAAGCTATCAATATTTTACTCAAAAACACACTTTATTAGTTTCCTTGTAGCAGCAAACCTAGGTACTCGTTAAACCTAATGTTATTAAAATATATTTAACTGAAAATCAATTCAGACAAATAGAAATTCGCTTAGTCGGCAGGTTTGCTGCGGCGGGGGTAATTCATACTATTTTGGGCAAGCCTATTCTGTCTAAGCCCAAAGGAAATTTAAATCTCTGGGAAGGCAGCAACTCGAACCCGAAGAGATTTTTTATTTTTAAATATTACTCCCAAGTCATGATGGTAATTTTATCAGACTTTAGTGTTTTAGTGTCAATGAAAAATTTTAATAGGATGAAAAATACAAGGAGGAAAATATAACAAAAACAATAACCTCATAGCCAAAGTTTACTTGGAACGTATACATGGTATACATTATGTATTTACATGTCAGTGGCATAAATACAACAGAACCAAGTTTCCAATAAGCCCTTTATTATTTATTTTGAAAACTGAGTTTATTAATAAACTTTGCCTATTAGACACAGTAAAAAAAAACTTAATTTTACGATATAAATAACATGTAACATAGATTAATAACGTTGTCCATATAAATGATTTTGAATGATTTTACATGATTCTTTTAACACTTTTATGACTATTTCATTTTTTAATTTTGATGGAAGATTATATTTTTTTAAAAATTCGTCAAAAAATTTTGTAATAGTTCCTCTTGCACCAATCATTATGCCAATTACTGATATAGAATTTAGATTATATTTGTTTCTTAAATAAGTTTCACATTTACTATAAATTTTCCTCTTTTCTTCATCTACTTCTAGGGGTTGATTTGTTGATGTTTCGAACCTTATTGTTGGATCAATTACAATTCCACTTTTAGATTTTGTATCATAAATTAAAATGTCCAATCTTCTGTTCGATCCACCATCTTCAGTGCAATGTATTTCTTCTACTACTTGCCAGCCTTTTTTTCGTAGTTCTTCTGCGATCATTGCTCTTACAGCATGGTGTCTTGCATTACGCAGTAAGGCACCAAAGGGACAAGAGCCAAGGACATGCGGAAGGGTTTCAGGCTCCTTGCAATGTCTGCAAAGGGTTCCGTCCTGGCTTCGCCCTGGTACGCTGCATTTTATAGTCATTCTGCTTTAAGAATACGTGTTTAGGGGTACAAGCTTTGGGGTTGGGGCGCTAAACAAGTTGGTTGCCCCAAATTTGTTCGAGTTTTTTTCAAGCTCTACAACTGAGGTAGATTGTCCTTTGAATTCATTGGCTAATTCATTCGGATTAATACAGAACATATTTTTACAAAATAAAAGGAAATAATATAGTAAATCAATGAAATTAAGAAAAATAAACCACCCTACCCAGGTAGTATATGCAATCAGTATTAGCAATCTAACAACTCAACTCTACTCCTCAAAATCAAGACGTTTAATTGAAAAATAAAAAAAACCAAGTGGTAACTGGCAGATTCAGTCAAGGTAAGTAATTTAGAGTTATTATATTAAATTATTGGCGTTATACCATTGGCAGTATGACAAAAAATGTTGCTATTCACCACAAGGATCAAAAGTGACTTTTTCGCCCTTGCTCATCTTGTAGACCAGTATAACCGGCACTTAATTCAAAAAGCTTTGTTCACTTTTGGTCCTTGTGAAACGTACTATTTGCAAAATAAATAAAAGACGACTAAACAACAATACGAGTTCAAAATGTAAATTAAAGATTTAAAGAACAATAAACAAAAAATATACCGATTACAATAAAACGTCAAACAGGTTTCAGCGAGAAGAACATTTTCCCTTTGATCGTTTGTCTATGAGGGTTGATTTTCTTCAACAGCTGTGTCATTACGTTCACCAGCTGTTCCGACGTAAGTCCCGTCTTCTTGCTCTTGAACTTTTGCAACAGTTCTGTAGTCGACATGGGCTTTCGCATCAGGTAACGTCGAACTGCGTCCTCTGTGATGCCACTATCAGAGCTGAAAAAACAAGTTAAAATGATAAACAACAACTAAATGTGATTCAAAAGAAAATAGACAGAATTACTATCAAAAACTTATGATCTTGAGTCAAGATAAAAACACAAATCAAATTTCTGAACAGAATTTAGCGTCTCATAGTACAACCAACGCAAACCAATTTAAAAAAATGAAATACCCACACAAACATTAAGGTAGGTGAAAAGTAGCAAAATGTTCTACAATTACCTACTCAAAAAGAATTAAACAATCCCTCAAAACCAAAGACCCTAATAATATTAGTTCTAGGTTTGTCTTTTAGGTTGTAACACATATATCAGGCCCACTTTGCAATCATTATCGAGCGCTTCTTACATACACAGTAGTATTTAATTTTGGTTGTCCTACTCACAATTTCAATAAAACAGATGCTGGGTTTAAAGGTTTTTCTCAAACATTCACAGCAGAAAGAAATAAACGGTACCTGTTGAAATTGAGAGGAAGAGGTTCCAGTCGGGCTTTCTTAGCCGCAGAACCCTCCAATGAAGTGCCTGCTCTCTTATCTGCTTGAGTAGCTGGGCTGGTGCATCGAGAACTACTGGCACTAAGAAATAATCAATATATTAATAGGCAAGCATGTTTCTTTAAAACCTTTTTTCTCAGATTGTGTGCATCATAGGGAAAATCTACACACACTGTTAGAAAGATGTTTGCCTTTAGATGTACAGAATCCCTCTATAAATTAAAATATAGACTAAAAAATAAGCACAAAAAATGAATTTAAAATTTTAAAAAATAACGGGCCTTATGGGTTGTCATGCTGGTGACAAAATATAAAAATATAAAGATAAAAAAAAACCAATGGAAGAAATTACAATCACATATTTTATTTACAGTGAGGTGTGAAAATAGAGATGTCTGTACATTACAAATAACTACTAGTGAATATTAACTTGGACAATTGTAACTACGTATTTACACCTTTAAAGTAACAACTTTGATTTAACATTAGAATGTCATCTATTTATCAAGTACCTAGGCTGTTGGACAAAGAGTAAGACTTGATTACCTTCGCAGTTGAAACAATATGTTAAAAACTAGTTTTTGTAATATAGCACTATCGTCGGCTTCAGGTACTCGTAAAGTTGCTTAGTTGGAAACATCAAACACAACTACAAACAACAATGACAGTAAACTACAAACACAGAAACAATAACATGAAGCTGCTGACGGGGGTTTTTTAATAACAAAACATGATCTGAACCTTTTTTTTTTGTTATATGACGGAAATTGTGTAATTTAGCCTTACGTTAGACTTAACTATTGAACATAACTCCTTATAAGTTTATAGTAACATAGGGTACAGAGGTCCAGATTTTTTGTTGAGATTTTTCCTGGTCCAAACAATTGTATACAGCTATAGGCCTAGCTTTTGCAAAAATTGTGTTTCTTCAGGGCACTTTTTCTCATTAAGGTAAAATGAGAAAAACCAAACCATGTGATTGAGAAAAATATCTTGTATTTGTTCTGACAGGAATACCTGACACATGTCAAAAATGTTAACACACCTGTTTTGCTGAGTTTTTGTTTTGTTATCAGCATCAGAATCTGAACTTTCAGCATTGAACTCACTCGATGACTCTGAAAAAAATATTAAGCAAAAATATTACTTTAATGTAAATTTTTTTAGAAGTTCTTCGTGATCAATTGTTAGTATTTTTTAAGCTTTTATATTGATGTTGCTAGTTGTTATTCATCTACGTGTTTTTCCTGTTCAAGAAGTATGAAAGCTAAATATTTGTGTTGTAGTCTATTGGCTAAAAAATGGCAAAGACAAAGGTTAGTTGAAAAATATGGAAACAAGCCTTTTCTTTAAAGCAAAAAAATCATGCATTTTTTGTTAATAAAATATGTGTAAATCTTTCACCAAATAATAATGACCAGCAAAGTGTTAAAAATACCATCCAAAACTGTTCAATCCATTTACCATCATTTTCATCCGCCTTGGCCTTGGCTTCTTTTTCTTCTTTCTCCTTCTTGGTGGCTTTCTTCTTCTTCTTCCCACTTTTCTCCTTATCCTCATCCTCCTTGTCATCTGCTTCACTCTTCTTCTCCTTGTCTTCCTCATCCTCCTCGTCCTCTTCGCCTGAACTCAGCAGACGACGCAAGGCACTCTCTTCAGCAACTCCTTTCATATCTTTGTCGATCTTGGCTTCATGGTCAGAGTCGCTGGTAAAAGATAGCAAGTTAGGCACAATCGTTCAGTGAAATCCGATGACCAGGGATCAAAACAGAAGTTTAACTTTTACCTTAGATTTAATTCAGAAAATAAGCAAGACCAAACCCCCAATAGCTTTATTTTGACATGAAAAAATAACAATATTGATAATGTTGCGTAAAGCGAAAAATAAAAGTTTGAAAATAAAGATGCATTGTTAAAAGAAGAGACAATTTTGGTGATGCACCAACTTTAAAAAAACTAGATTGAAGTGAAGGTCACAAGATGGCGGCTTCATCATTTTGGTTAGATGTCGTCTTGAGCAGTGGGGAGTAGGCGGGAAATTTGAATGTATTTTATATTTCAACTTAAAATTAATTCTTCTTTTTTTATATATTAAAATTAAAGAAAACTCTTCTTCATGGGGTTATAATAAATAAAATAATTACTTCTTCTAACAGATAAAGATGATTGATATTTTACCTATCGGAAGAATCGGAGATGTAGTCTAGTTCTCGACCTTCTTCATCTCCATCATCACTTTCCTCCACGGCAGAATCATCAGAGCCGCCCTTCTTCTTCTTCTTTGCAGCATTTTTCTTGTTTTTATCATTCTTCTCTGTGAACCAAAACAGCATAAAACAACTAACTTAAAATAGAGAGGGACTTTTTTTATCAAGCAACCAACTCCTTCATTGGGGAGTGTTGCACGATGTCCAATGATATAAGTCAGTGAACGACGCTAAAATATAATTTTTGAGCTGTCTTATGACATCCAATATAAACTATTCGACTGGTTCACAACGTCCAAATCTCATCATGTCCAAAAGTAAAGTAACTACAAGAAACAAGGTCTTTCTACAAGCTAAGGACGTCATGGGATGGGTCGTCGTGCAAAAGCACACTTTACACTCCTAAAATAATAGCAGTTACACCATGTCCAGAGCCGCTACCAGTTGCACGACGCCTAATAGCTCAGCGCTGTTGCAAGATGTCCAGAGCTCTTTTGAGCTAATAGACGACATGCAACTGGCAGCGTCTTTGGCCGTGGTTTTAGGAGTGTAAAAGTGTGCTGTTTCACGACGACCAATCTCATGACGTCCAGAGCTTGTAGAAAGACTATGTTTATTGCAATTACTGTACTTTTAGACGTGGTGAGATTTAGATTGCAACAGTCAAATATTTTATATTGGACGTCGTGAAACAGCTCACAATTTGTTTACGCCATGAAGTTGACTTATACAGAAAACAATTTGTATACATTATAGGACTTAAAATGAGATCACAGTAACTAGATATTATTTGGCTTCAGCTGGTAAAACCGTTGATTAAATTTAGAAAGTTTAGCTAGGCCTAAAATGTTTCATTTTCACCTACTCTCTGAATGGGACCTAAGCTAGCACAAGCGATTTTTCAATGTAAGCTTGCTAATTTTCCTTTCCAAAAATCCTATTTTTAAAATCTTATTTCAAATGACTATTTATTTTTTATTAGTTAAAGTGACTGAAATGTATGCAATGCAAGGTTCGATAAACAACTTGCTCAGAAATTACCTACACTTAAAATTATGCCAATGCTCCATAATGTTAACATATTCTGATATTATTACCATAATGTTACCATTCTTGATATATCAGATTATGGTAACATTATGGTAATAATATCAGAATATGTTAACATTATGTTTGTCTTGGCAATACGAGTAACCAGGTGATGTCTCAAATAAGCTCATGGCTGTTCCCTTGACGTAATGTCATCCCACTGCTGCCTACATCACCTCTTTTCTCACCAGTCTACACCATGTCTGGTCAACAACTTTGCACCCATGCGGCCCTCTGAGTGGTTTTAAAGGAACTCGTTAACCAACCCCAATTTACAAGTACAGTTCACCAATTACAAGAGTTAACAATCAGTTAAACAAAAAATAAAAAGTCCCTATAGGACTTATTGTTACATACGTTTCTTCTTCTTCTTTTCTTTCTTCTCCTCGTCATCGTTGTCTTCATCTTCCTCCGAATCATCGTCATCAGTGTTCATCCAGTCATCCATGTCAGATATCTTGAAGTCTGGTGAAGCAACAAACTATTATAGATTCTATAATACATAATTAGTAAGAGGATGAATGGACACAGGCAAGATGTTAAAACCCCGCAGAGATAAACCTATAGGTAGCAATCCATGCTGACTGAAAAAAAACTTAGATGTTGATTCCTGCTACGCCATAAAGTCTATACCCAAATATCAGTGCAACAGTTCGATTTCAGAGGTAGGGTAGCCTACCAAAGACTCAAAAAATCCTCCTAACCTCAATTTGAGATAATGACCCCCAACCTTCCCTCTTAGCTAGTGTTTAAGTAGTTTTCCTGAAAGTTTTAAGTTTTGTGTAAATACAGAACATTTGTTGTATGTGTGTTTTTTTATAGTGCAGTAACATAATATCTAGGCTTTTTTTCGGTGGTTACAGTTGGCAACTCTGAAGATCACTCTAGTTTTAAACTTTAACCTGGCAATACTCTTCAACCCACTCTCTACAGAAGTCCTACATCAGAACTAAATATCATTGCTATGTTTGTGCTATTTTTTTGTTATCTATTAGATCCTGGACTCTAATTTTATCAGGTAAGCTAAGTGAACTTTATTCCTTTATAATACAAAAAATCCCTTACTGTATTAAATTATAAGACTTTTGATTTGCTTACTACAGTATTAAACATTAGCTTATTATTAATATCAATTTTACAGTTGGTTTTGCAAAGTTTTACACAAGGGCTTCTACAGTTTAGGATTTCACAAAATTGTTTTTATTCTAATTTACCTTTAGACTTTTTTGAATTTCCTCGCTTTGTTTTCCCTTCCTCTTCATCCAAATCTCCGTCTTCATCATTCCTCAACCGTTTCCGCAACATCAGAGAAAAGTAGTTAATCACCTTGTTTCGCCTGGAAAAAAATTTGTAGGTAAACACTTATTTATTAACACTAAGAAAAACCACATTAAAGTACTGTACTACTGTACTAGAAAATTACTAGATTATTAGATGTTATATTGGTAAATTCTAGATATTAGATAATATTTTAAAGGAATGCTGAGTGGCAGTAAGTTTGTTTTTAAGAGGTTAGAGTTTTTTTATATGGTGGCAACAGTTGGCAACATTGAAGACTGTGCCAGTTTAGAATTTTAACTAACATTTCTCTTCAATCTACCCTCCAAGAAGTCATATATTAGGTCAAATATCAGTGTTATGTTATACTAGCTGTACCCGCGGGCTTTGCCCCGTTTAACTTCATACGTGAGCTCGTTCGCATGGCTCAATCACGTCCTGGTTGAAGTTCGTTCGCTACGCTCACTCACCTTTAGGTTGGAGCTCGTTCGCTGCGCTCACACGTCCTGGTTGAAGTTCGTTCGCTACGCTCACTCACCTTTACGGTTGAAGCTCGTTCGCTGCGCTCACTTGCCTTCAGGTTAGCTCGTTCGCTACGCTACCTCGCCTCCGGGTTGAAGTTCGTTCGCTACGCTCACTCACCTTTTGGTTTCAAATTAGCTGTTGTCAAATATTAAAAAAATAATTGTGCTGCACTCTGTTTGGTAATCCTTGTAACTTTAATGCTATTGAACATCATAGAACAGAACCAACTTGTTTAATTGAAACAGCTGTCATGATTCATTATTCCAATTAAATATGAGTACTCATTAGGTTAACATGGGAAACTCCAGAGCCACTGGGGCGGAGCCCGAGAGTTCGATCAGAATAAAAACCACTTAGTTTTCCTATTTAATGCCTAAAGAATCAGTGTACCAAATTTCAGCCTCCTAGGTAAGTGGGAAGTGGGAGAATTAGTGATGAGTGAGTGAGTCAGTCAGTCAGTGAGGGCTTTGCCTTTTATATATATAGATGATCTGTTAGCCTCTGGACCCTATTTTACCGAGGTAAACTAGATGAACTATCCTTTTTTTCAAAACAATTCCTTGATTTTGTATGTGTTGTCTTTGATTGTAACTTAACAAAACTAGCAATAGTTACACTTATTGCAGAGACGTAAGGTACAAAGGAAACATTCAATGTTAAGTGGTGTCTAGCACTAGTCGCTGGTGTCTAGGGCAAAGTCTAACACCTCTCCCTTGCACTCAAGCATTGCAATGCTCACGGTGGAGGAAGACGCTGTACACTGTGCAATAGGAATTTCCACACCGCCACTCTGGCTCTTCCTTATATATTTCCCGCACAACATACTACAGCTGAAAGCGCATGTTCGTCCCATACACGTTATCCTCTGCACCTTACTTCTCTGTACACTTATTAAATTATATTTAAAGCATTATCGATCTTAACACAATTACCTTCCAAACTCTTGTTCAGCCTCCTCTGCCGAGAGTGACTTGTACCTGTTGATGGGTTGGAAGTTGTACCATTCACACAGAGGGTAGGCGTCGATGGCTCCGTCTGCAGCGTGCGTGAACACATAGTAAGCTGCGTTCTCCCCCACTCCTCCTTCACGGATACCTTTGAATCTGGAAACAACAGATCAGTGTTTGTATGACTAAATGGGCTAACTGTATATATTATTTGTTACATAGACGTTAGATTTAGATTTTTGTTATGTGAAAAAAGCATAGGTACTCAATAGAACCAGAGTCATCAACAAAATACAGTATATCAAATAGAAAATTATACATTTAACCAACAGAGTGATATCACTAAGTTATATATCAATACAATTACAATGTCGCGTATACAAATCACAACATATCATTGTTCAATGTGTAACATTATCAGAGTAAATTACAGTGTTCACCTTCAACTTAAATATTGGTTGCTGGATCAATCCCAATCTGGGCTTAAACCCTAAAGTCACTTGTCATTAGGCTATGAATTAATGATGCTATCTAACAAAAGGTTAACATTGAATGGTAAACAAAAAAAGCCAATAATGTTAACGCAAAAATCAGGTTACTTTTAATTACAATTGGTTCCTTCAGAAATTGTATAAGGTTAAAGAAATGCTTTATGTTTAACAGAAAGGTACAACCTAAACAAATTTTAGATTAAACCTTGAACAGTTAATAACACTTAGGCATCCCATCCCCATATCCCCATGTTAAAGTTGTCGGTAGTTTTTAAATCAAAATTGTCGTAGTTTCTGTAAATCACAGATTGCGCTGATGCAAATTACTGTTTTCTGTTGAATACACAAGTCAACTGATGGAACAACGTGAGCTATAACAACTGGTATGACCCATCAACTATGTCAGCAAAAAAAAAATAAGGTAGAAATAGAATTTTAGACATTAGCGCATTCTGTGACTGGCTCACACAACTATGTTCTTTTTTAATAAAAATTTGGCGACAACTGATCCATATAGATGGGATGTCTACTTCAGTATCCAATAGCCAATGATTAAACCCTATCCAAATAGTCAACGCAATGAGAATACTCACTTCTTTCCTGTTTTGCCTCCAGCTTTGAGTATCCATGGCTGATCTTCTGGTTTATACTTTTTGCTAACGATACCAAATTTCTTACGCCGAGCCTCTTCTTTAGCCTCTCTGCCATATTCACTACCAGCACCAAATCTGAAATGTTGAAGCATAAGTATTGGTATCTACCTAGTGTCAACAAAATCAATCAAACCCAATGATGGCAGACAACAACACAACAAATGAAATTAAACATTTATGTACTTTTCTGAATATTTCTAAAAGTGTTGAAGCCTTGTGATAGTTTTTGAAACGTTCAATATGGTTTTTACATTGTTCCATAACAAAAATTACCGGTAATCAAGATCTTCTCTTCTATAAAAATAAAAACTTACTAACATTTGGTTCCTGGTCTCTTCACATTTAAACAATTTTTAACTTACTAGGATTATTTTGAAGTTCACCCTCTATATTAAAATAGCTTATTCCCTATATGGGAAATTCGCTAATAGGAAAAAAATACAAATCTTACTTTGGCATGTCATCATCAGGTCTTGCAAATTCCTTTGCATTGTTCTCCCTTTCCATCTTCACTGGACCCCATTTTGCAAAGTCTACGTTGAGAACTGAGTTGAACCTCATAACGTGATGTCTCTTCCTAGAGGCCCTAAAGATACAAATACTTGTACATTATAGATATTAAACGTCATCGATCAACATATTATTTAGGCTGTAAACGATATTAGATTACTTAGTATCATATTAAATAACTGTTCAATTGACTTGAACCATTGACTATATGGTTAAACATTACAGAAAACAGATGCTCCTAAAAATGATTTGTCTAGATTCAAGTGTAATAATAAGCATGGTCCTATTAGGGTACATTCATGGCTTTTACAGATTTATAAACTGCCCCGCTCTTCTGTTATGGTATTTAACCATCCTAATAGGCCTATTATTTGTAATGCCTCAACATTTACCACTAAAAATTAGTACTGTAGACCAGCATCTACGATACCTAGGCCTATTGGGAATCTGGTCCTAAAAAGCTTTACTGGGTAGGCCTACAGTCTGTCTATTTATAAGGCATTGATTGTTGTGATTTTGGGTAAATGCCCAATTCTATTCAAACAAATCTTAGACCAAAACCTTCTCAAAAATATTTAATTGACAGTAAAGCAATTTAAAGTGAATAAGTCATATTTTTTTATCCGACCACAAGTCAGTCAACTTTCAAATAACTTTTTGTAGAAGAATACGTTAAAAAACTGAAGAAATAAGCTTAATTATTAGGTATTCAGTTTAAATACAAGAAGAATGGGGTTTTTTACAAGGCAGCCCTTTTTTTACTTAAACTGTTTATATAGGTCAATAAGTTTTATCAAATATTTATTTAATTTTTTTTGTTATTTTATAATTTTAAATAAATGCCCATAAAGTTGCATGAGAATCTTTACAATAGTTTTAACCAACTACTAGTTGAATAGGTCCAAGTTACATACAAAATTATACCAACTCCTAACTAGGCCATGTTATTAGCCTATTAAACCAGTGAGCAATTGAATGAACAAGAATAGTGCTTTTATAATTACATTAAAATGTATAGTGTAAAATAAACAGAGTAAATAATCAGGCCCTAAGTTAATTATAATATTTGCTTGTTACCATTGACTAGGTGTAGGCTATAGTAAATGTTGTTACTTACTTCGGAACCCGTATAGAGAACTCCTGTGCCGGCGTTGCTTGAGATGACTAAAACAGAAAATAAGGGCTCAATGATAGGTGCAACCCAGGGCTAGAGATATTCAAGGGCTAGGCCACGCGAGCTCAGAAAGTGATGCCAGGTGGCTCCCCACCACTCCGCCGCTGTGACGTCACAGCAGTACCTCGGGCTCCCGGTACCATATATCTTAGCCTATGTGAGCGCTGGTATTGCCGCACATTTAATGTCGAATAAGCACTATGTTGGACATTTTTTTATTAGGTACTGTATTACTGTATTTTATAAAAGTAATTGATTTTCAAATAGGATTACGAATAAAATCAATTTTAATAAATAAAAAAATAACTTTAGTAGATGTTTAAGGATGGGAGTAGGCTGTAAAGCGATGGCTAAGAATACTGTACTCATTGATACAATAAATTAAGTTACTAAAGGAGTGAGCCAGCCCTTGTATATCTCTAGCCCTGGGTGCATCCTGAGCTTAAAGCCTTATTTGGCCTCATTTTACAACTAAAAATCATGATTTTTCAGCTAGGCCTATTATTTTATTAGTTAACCTATAATAAGGTAATTATATCGATCACATACCGGTACGTCACGCTACAATAATTTTTTTCTAATTTTGTTTGCCAAATAACGTCTTGAATACAAAAATGATTGTCATTTTCCCTGGAAAAGTAGGCCTATTGTTTTCCCGGAAAAGCGGAAATATGTCATGTGGATACTCAAATAAACCAGTAGAGCAAGCTGAACAAGTAGCCTATTGCAAGAATTTTCAAGATCCGATGGATATTAACGGAGATATGGCTGGAAAAGCGAGTTAGCGCCAAAATGACCAAAACTAGGTTAAAAGGTTATATTGGGATAGGTTAGATTACGTTGGGTTGGATTAGAGGGGTTAGGTTAGGTTAGATTTGTTAAATTGGGTTAGGTTAGGTTAAATATTACGTTGAGTTGGTTTTTAACCCTCCGAGTGTCATGCGTCGCTGCAGCGACGCGTAACACACGTTGTGTAGAGTTATGCGTCGCTGCAACGACTCACGAACACTGTTTACGGCAAAGGCTCTATGACTGACTGAATCGGATTGAACTGGATCGAGTTAGGTATCGTTCTTTTCGTTAAATTATAAGCTTTCTCCAGAGGTCTGTCTCAGCGCTGTAAGTTCTCCGAGCCGATCGTAATTGTAGCAGACAGCTGACGTGCGCATTTGTAAACAGCTTGGTTATCCTCGGACCGATGACTGATGTGTTTTATTACGTTTATCATTGTTTTAGTGTTAAAAATCAAAAGTAGTGATATACGTGGTGCATTATAAGAAGATTTAAGTGATTTTGAAGGGCTGGTTGATGATCCTGAAGAAGTAGGTAGTGATACTGATGTAAATTATCAGCCAGATTCCTAGCTATGGTTAGGCTATGCATTCTTAGCTAAACGCTATGTACTGAAATCTGTTTTTTGCCCATAACTTATTTATTTGCAAATCTACTTCCTTACTTATATTATTATACTAGCAGAGAACCCGTCCTTCGTACGGGGTTGGCATCAAGAATAAAATGCTTATTGCAGTTATACTCAAGTTTTGCGTTTGCAATGGGGGCGGACACAGTTTGATAAAATTTGCTTCTTTAAATTTACGGTATACTATAGTATTACACATCTACCATAGCCATAATGTTCTACCACTTCTCCTAAACAATAGAGAAAAATTAATTATTGAAAAACCACAAAATATCACAAATCATTTATGAAATTAAAAACATAAACATGCCTGTAAACAATCCTACTTTGACAGTTTCTCATTGCGTATCACAGTTTTTTGTCGATGCTTAATTCAAATTAGCTGTTTTCATAAATGCAAAAAAATAATAGTGCTGCACCCTGTTGGTAAATCTTTTAACTTGTTAAATGCTTTTGCATATCATAGAATAAACTTTTTTAGTTGAAACAGCTGACAAAGTTCTTTAATTCCCTTTAAATATGAATACTCATAAGGTTAACATCGGGAACTACAGAGCCACTGGGGCGGAGCCCGAAAGGATTTTTGAGATAAGACTATGCCTATATGTTAATCGGGAGTTTAAGCTATCATCATGCCAAATTTCAGCCCAATCCGTCCAGTAGTTAAAGCGTGATTGAACTTCAAACAAACAAACAAACAAACAAACAAACAAACACACAAACTTTCACATTTATAATATTAGTAAGATAAGATATTTGTAATCCTCATAAAATTTAGAACAAAGTGGCTATTTTCAAATATTTATAGGCCTGTAATTTACACAATTTCATTGAGCGCGAACTTTTTTTTTTTTTTTTTCCAAAATATTTTTTTTTTACCTAAAAAATTTTTTTGAAACAAATGTTCCTTATGTTTTATGTAGCCCATGATTTTCCAAACAAAATGGTATATAGAACAGTAGAATTAACATTGTTTTAAGCTTCTCAGATCGGTTTTAATAAAACCTTGCAAATGCGCCAAAAATAGGCGGACATTAAGGCCTAAACTATGGACACTCGGAGGGTTAAAACTCGCCTGACCAAAAAATAAAAAACTTCCTCACAGAGTAACTTTTTCATGTCAAAATCTATAATTATAAAAACATCACATTAGTTATCGTCATATAATTAAAAAATAAATACTTCAGATACCGTACAATTAAAATAGAACTGTTAGTGGAAGAAGGACCTTAACTTCAACTGTGCAAAATTTGAAAATTTTATCTGCACTCTAAGGCACTTAAATCACGGTGTATTCTGTGCGTGTTCAATTAAAAGTTGTTCACTGCAGCGACCCAATTCGAGCCCCTTGACCAATTCAATATGGCGGAACTGGCGACACTTAGCAGTGTGGTATAGCCCCTCTATTTATATTATGTGCTCGTTGGTCTAAACCTGTCGTATAGCCTAGCCACAATTTTTTTAATTTGTTAGTTAGGCCTAACTTTAGCAACTAACTGTTAATGTTGGTAACAGCTTCATTAGGCTAACTGGTGTTGACACGACAAAAAACCAAAGTTAAAACCTGAATATCAAGTTGTTCAAATGGACAAAAGAATGTGAAAAACTGTGGATTTTTCATTTGCCCCAAAACGTAGGCTAGTCCTAGGCCTATACCAGGGTAGCCTATATAACTTATTTTATATTATCATACTGGATAGGCTAAGTTCATATTTCTTACCTGTGACGCACTCATCGAAGTTTGTTTTAAAGACGACATAACCAATGTTGTCAATCACCAAATAAAAGAATAATTATCTTATTTTAACCAGGCCTAACCTACATTCAAACGAAAACTTCTTTGGATGTGGAGCGCTTGGTTAAACTCCTTATGTCTCACTCTCACACAATCACATACTACACCATGTTAAAATTCGTACATTAGACCATTGAAGTTGTATTGACTCATCCAAACATTACGGTCTCGAAGGGACAAGGGACTAGGACGGGTCTGACTTAGGGGAGGTACAAATGAGGCATTTAGTTCAAAATTCCTCCGTGAACAGCGCTGTAGTAGAGAGCACTTTGGCAATAAACGTTTACTAATCGCAAAAATAGTTCTGTTCATAAAATAAAATTATAAATGCCTCAAATTCAATTTTACTATTTTTAATTATAAAATTAAACTATCATAACCTAACCGAACTAACCAAACTTGCTGATAAATATAACAAAAGTTTAGTAATCGGAAAAATAATTCTGTTTATTAAATAAAACTAGAAATTGCTCAATTAAAATTTTATAATGACTTAATAATAAAATTAAACTGTAATAACCAAACCAAACCAACCAAACTTGCTGATAATAAAAAAATCTTGGACAAAAAGTTAATGCTACTAGCGGGATTCGAACCCGGGACCTACAGTATACCAGCCCAGCACGCTAACCATTAGACCACCGAGGCCGATGGCTACCGAACGTTTTGTTACGGTAATGGCGTTCCCTCAGCTAATAAGAAGCCCTCAGCTGTCATCGTAGCCTCTTCTATACCTCCCCTGAGTAAATACCGACTAGGACTAGGCCTAGTAGGGTGAAGGGACTTTAGCCATCGTGTCGTTGTACGGTTGCCGTGGTGTCGTGAACGTGCACGTGATTAGCGTCTAGCGAGCGACTCGACTTCGACTATAGCGAGCAGCGAGCGTGAGCGAGCGGCTGCTTTCAGTGCTGACTGTGCTGACTGCTGCTTTGCTTTCTCTTTCTCCCCTCCCTTCGCGGTCATTCTCTTCATTCCATGGCGTTTGGTAAAAATACTGACTCACTGACTGCCGACTGGTTGGTAGGCTATGACTGCAGCCATCAATTACGTTTTCTGCTAGGATGCTGGAAATTTACAATGCAAACAAGCTGCATGGTAATGTTTTTATCGTCCTAAGACGCTAAGCACGAGCCTAGGATATTTTTCACATTAATTACTTCAGGCTATACCTAGGGTTTGCGGCAATATCACTTAGATAAAATCCATTTGTGATTTGGCGGGAGTTGATCCCGCGATCCCGGCCAGATCACATAGTTTTATCTATGTGGCAACTAATACCAGCATTGACTTTGTCAATGATACCAGGGAAGGGAGTTAGTTAAATTAATTATCTATGCCCACTACCACCTTTAACTCCACTCCACTCAATTTTGTGGGCGCACCTAGTTATCATTCAACCATAGATAAAAACATAGACTAACCAGTTTTATCTTTGATAAATTACTATCTGATCTTTGATACTATTACTATTCAACCTCAACTCTTCTACTTCTAGAATTTCCGTTATCCCAGCAGAAAACAATGTTGTTAGGAATTCACTCACGCCTCTTTCACACGAAGCGGCGCGCGCCGTACGGCGTCCGCCGCGCGGCGCTGCGCCGGACAAGCGTGTCTCTTCACACTAGTACGGTTTCGTGCGGCGCGCGCCGTACGGCACTCCTAAATATTTATTATTTTTTGTTCAGTTGTGGCTTTTTAATGAATACTCCACTTAAAAGTTCAAATTAAATGAATAGGATAATTTTAAATATAATAAACTAGTGCACCTGTTGCTCGAATTTGAGCAATTGCAAAATATTAAAGGAGTTTTTTTACGAATAACTGTCACTATTTCCGTTGACGTGTGAGAGTCAACTCAAAAGATAATGTAACCAATCACTCCACTCCAGTTATCGAAACTGGAAACGAACTCACTCTGAAAACGAACGCTCACTCCACTCCATCTATCGAAACTGAAAACGAAAACTCTTGTGTGTATCATGTGTGTACTATGAACAGCTGTAATTAATACAAACTATTCGTCCGTTTAACTAAACAAAATCTTGTCTTCATAAGATATACATTGGGATTTTGATGGCCTGAGGGGCAAAGCCCGAGGACTTTTATTACAGGAATTGGTGAAAGGGGGCGTGTACACAACAAATACTTAATTTTGACACATCGTTTGTAAAAATCGGTTCATTATTAACGGAGGAGTAGTATTTCGTAGAAATCACCTTCACGTATTATATATAAGTATTCGTCATATCTAAAAATATTGTATTCTAGATATAAAAAAAAAAGTTTCATCTATCTATCTATCTATATATTAATAGGCAAGCATGTTTCTTTAAAACCTTTTTTCTCAGCTCGTGTGCATCGTAGGGAAAATCTACGCATACCGTTGGAAAGCTATTTTCCTGTAGGTGTGCAGAATCCCTTTATAAATTTAAATAGGCTCAAAGATAAGCACAAAAAATAAGTTTAAAAGTTGTAAAAAATTAACATGGATCTTATGCGTTGCTATGCTGGTTACGAAATAACAACGAAATATAAACAGAAAATCAAAACAAATGGAGGAAACTCCAATCACATGTTTTATTTACAGTGTGGGGTGAAAATAGTTAAGTGAGTACATTACATATTTTTGGTCGAGTTTCGACCACTGGACGACCTCTCGTCTATATATTAATAGGCAAGCATGTTTCTTTAAAACCTTTTTTCTCAGCTCGTGTTCATCGTAGGGAAAATCTACGCATACCGTTAGAAAACTATTTTCCTGTAGGTGTGCAGAATCCCTTTATAAATTTAAATAGGCTCAAAGATAAGCACAAAAAATGAGTTTAAAAATTTGAAAATATTAACATGGATCTCATGCGTTGCCATGCTGGTAACGAAAATAACAACGAAATATAAACAGAAAACCAAAACAAATGGAAGAAACCCAAATCACATGTTTTATTTACAGTGTGGGGTGAAAATACAGAAGTGAGTACATTACGTATTTTTGGTCGAGTTTCGACCACTGGACGACCTCTCGTACTTATTTAATACGCAAGCAGGTTTTTTGTGACAATTACTCCTCCGAAACTACTGAACCAATTAACATGTTTTTGGTGTCATTGGAAAGAGCGTAACGTGAAGTTGTGCAGGAAACTTTCTTTTTAAGGAAATAATTAGAGAGTGAGGCCCTGGGGCCCTTTAAAGTTTCGTATTTATCCATAAGATTAACATGGAAAACAAAATTTGTTATGGAACTCCAGCTGTTGTCAGAAATTAAAGAGTGAAATATTTATTGATGGTATCCATGGTAACAAAGAACAAACCCACAAAATTAAAAAATGTAAACAAGCAGAACTAACTGTCAAATTAATTTTGATTTCACAATTCCACACAGCTGGTTCAAACATATTAAATACTGCATGATTATTAGAACAGGAACGGTAGGGATCATAAACATTAATCAAATATGTCACTCGCCCGAATCATTTTTGTCTATGCCCGAATGTAAACATTTAACATTGATTAAATTGAACTGTCAAACTATGTTAATGTCATTAGTATGGAATTCTTTCAACATCATTTGTTGATCGAGTTAGTTTCAATATTTTTGAACTGCTGTAATAATATTTTTCAGGAAAAAATTGTTAGATAAATTCGTGGATACAAGTAATAATTTAGACGAGAGGTCGTCCAGTGGTCGAAACTCGACCAAAAATATGTAAATGTACTCACTTCTCTATTTTCACCCCACACTGTAAATAAAACATGTGATTGGAGTTTCTTCCATTTGTTTTGATTTCCTGTTTATATTCCGTTGTTATTTCGTCACCAGCATGGCAACGCATAAGATCCATGTTAATTTTTTGAAATCTTTAAACTCATTTTTTGTGCTTATCTTTGAGCCTATTTAAATTTATAAAGGGATTCTGCACACCTTCAGGAAAATAGCTTTCTAACGGTATGCATAGATTTTCCCTACGATGCACACGAGCTGAGAAAAAAGGTTTTAAAGAAACATGCTTGCCTATTAATATATAGATAGATTCTTCAATCTTTGCTGTTATTAAAATTGTGTATCTGCTGCAAACCTTCAGACTAAGCGAATTTCCATTTACCTGGCTTAATTAATACAAAGATTAATTATTCCCTTAAAATGGTCATTTTTCCTATTTATATAACATTAAGTTAATTTTAATATGAGTACGGTACTTAGGTTTGCTGCTACAGGGAAGATAGGTGTGTTTTTGTTGAAATGTTGATAGCTAAGTATGATTGTTATTGGTTTGCCAATCCTGTAATACTTTACAATTGCTCGAATTCGAGCAACATGTACACTAGTTACGTATAAATTACTAAATTATTAATTTAATACTAAATATTCTCCTCTAGTTATTAAAGGAAAATTTTTGTTTTAATACTTTAAGTTGGTCGATTTGCATGGGATTAACATAAAAATATATGTTTTGTAATAACTTTAAATATATTATTTTCCGATACAACGATATATAATTTCTTAATTAACTGTTGCACCCTCTTGGTCAGGTAGTTTGCCTAAAATGAGACATAGTAGGGGTTGGGCCGTGCGGCGCGCGCCGCACCGTGTGAAAGCTCCCATAAGAACCAATGCACCTTCACCGAGTTGTCCGGCGTGGACGCCGCGCGGCGCTGTCGTCTGGTTGAAGGTGCATCCGGCGGTAACGCCTCTTTCACACGAAGCGGCGCGCGCCGTACGGCGTCCGCCGCGCGGCGCTTCGCCGGACAAGCGTGTGTCTTCACACTAGTACGGTTTCGTGCGGCGCGTGCCGTACGGCACTCCTAAATATTTATTATTTTCTGTTCAGTTGTGGCTTTTAAATGAATACTCCACTTAAAAGTTCAAATTAAATGAATGGGCTAATTTTAAATATAATAAACTAGTGCACCTGTTGCTCGAATTTGAGCAATTGCAAAATATTAAAGGAGTTTTTTTTACGAATAACTGTCACTATTTCCGTTGACGTGTGAGAGTCAACTCAAAGATAATGTAACCAATCACTCCACTCCAGTTATCGAAACTGGAAACGAACTCACTCTGAAAACGAACGCTCACTCCACTCCATCTATCAACACTGAAAACGAAAACTCTTGTGTGTAT